TCTCTATCTGCCTGTCTCCCCTCTCCTCTCTCCCTGCTCCTCCCCGCTCCTCTCTCTGTCCCTCCCCACCTTCTCTATCTGCCTGTCTCCCCTCTCCTCTCTCCCTGCTCCTCCCCGCTCCTCTCTCTGTCCCTCCCCACCTTCTCTATCTGCCCCTCTCCCCTCTCCTATCTGCCCCTCCCCTCTCTTCTCTCCCTCTCCCTCCCTCCTTTCCTCTATCCCTGTCCCTCCCCCTTTTTCTCTCTCCCCGTCCCACTCATCCCTCTCTTCCTGTCCCTCTCTCCCTCCTCTTTCCCTATCCCTCCCCTGTCTCCTTGTCCCTCCCTTCTCCTCTCTCCCCTGTCCTTCTCCCTATCTCCACTGTCCCACTCTCCTCTGTCCCCCTCTGTCCTCTCTGTCTTCCTTCTCTGACCCCCAATCCCTACCCACTCCTCTCTGGCTCTTCACCTCCATCCCCCTCTAGGGTGGAGGAAGGCTCTGACCCTGCCGGGGTCTTGGGTCATGGGCATTAGGTCCCCTTCTGCCCTGTGTGCCCAGGCCAGGTCCCCTCCATGCTGGGCACTGGGATTCATCATCTCTGGCCCTGTCCACTAGGGACTCCCCCTGCTTCTGCTGGCCCTTGGGGACCACATGAGCTATCAGGGGACCCAGTCCATAAGGGCTGAGAGGGCCCACTGAGACCACCAGCCCCACCCCACTCACTGCACAGAAAGGAAGCCCAGGCCCAAGAGACTGTTTCTGCCACCCCTCCAGCCTCTCTCCATGTCCCCTAATCCAGCCGACCGGGGGTGGGCAGGAGAATGACACAGCAGCTTTGGGCCTCTGGAGGCCTCTCTGCTGGGAGGGTACTGCGCTGCTGAGGCCCCTGCTAGAACGTCCAACCCAGGAGGGCAGGGTCTGAGCTGTCCTCTTCACTGCTGACTGCCCAGCGCCTGGAACAGCACCCGGCACGCAGCCAGCACTCAGTACCCGTTTCTTAGTTTCTTATACCCATCAGCGGAGCTAGAGAGACAGCGAGGAAACAAGGACCCGGCCCCACAGCTCCTGGCCCAGAGCAGGGCCACAGCAAACACCCGTGAACGTGGTCGGAGGAGGACGCGGGTGTGGAGGGCCATGTGACCTGTCTGAGTTTCAGAGTAGATGGCAGGCCAGCGGCAGGCAGCAGGGAGCCCTGGCTTCAGGGCCCCGTTTGTGCTCTGTCCCCCATCCCTTCAGCCCACCCGAAAAGAATGCTGGGCTCCTAGCGGGCTTGTGCAGCCTGCTGATGACATTGTACTGAGGAGAGAACTGAGGCTCACAGTGGTGACTTCCCCCGGCTGGAGAGGGGGCAGAGCGGGATTCCAGGCAGGTCTGTGGCACCCG